TAGTGTACCTATCCACCTTGGTACGGTACAGAACACTATGGAACGGTACCATAATGTTTATTTTCGAACGCTGCATTTCGGACAATTCCATTACACTTTTCCCCAACTGGCGGATGTAATATATCAATTGGATTACATCTTAGGAGAACTTTTGCCTGGCATTTTTCAAATTTTCTTTTTCAAGGTATATTGCGTACGCTTACAAATGCTGTCATCAAATGATTCCCAATATAAAGTAAAAGGAGTGGACAGCACAAAAACATAGAAAGTACCGTTAGTTTCATACATTGTGTGCCGTAATAAAAAAGCAATATATGTGTAAGGAGTTATTTGACACTGGTGAAACTGAGTACATCATACAATTATGAGGATTTGTTGACATATATGTAATGGAATTGACAATTTAGATCTCTACTCATGGTAGGGTAAGTGCACCAATAGTCGGCACTTTAAGAATTTTCGCTTTGTAAACGTTTCACCATTCCAAGTGCATCTTTTACACGATATTGTATTTAGGTTCATCTGTTTAGAAATTTTGTTTACTCCCCGATGGAATACAAATTTGTTTAATTAACTTGTATTAAAGTAAATTAAATTAATAATTATGTAAAATAGTGCCTTTGTGCCAATAGTCGGCACATTTTTCCAATTGTCGGCATGTTATGTTCCAATAGTCGGCATGTCACATTTTACTTAAACAGTACGGGAGCAGACCATATATATTTAATTGATTTTTCTGCTATTTGGTCCTGATTTATATTAGGCGAGTTTACTTGCGGCAATTATTATCGTTCCCTTTTGAACTTGCTCCATGCGTCTATACAAGGCAATTCGGATTCGAAAATATTTCATTTGATGACAATAGTTTTTTTCACATTTAAATAAATATAAAATGTCAACAAATACGAAATACACAAATCGAATTGCCAGAAAATTGTCGGTACGAGCAATTTTTTTCCATTTCTATTCCCCTTGCCCCTCTCTCCTACAGTCAAAGACTTGCCGCAAGTAAACTCGCCTAATATAAATTGGGACTAGCAATAATAAATTATTACTATGGGACGTTTCCATCAGTGTTGTATTGAAAAAGTTATATAAAATAATATTATTTATTAAAATATTACAATTATAAAACATGGTACCGACATTGGGAACCTGTTATCCAATTCTCGGCATGGCCAAATAAGACATTTCAGAGGTTAAAAGAATTTGAGATTACAATCGTGTTTTCTATTATATAAAACAGACAAGACAATCGTTATTTAGAGGACTTATTTAACATTTTGAGCCACCAATATGATCGACAAGGTGCCCATATGCCGACTATAGGAAAACCTTAAAATTTGTTGTTCCTAAGGTCGGCATCGATAAAAATATCGTTATTAGAAATATTTTTTACTGATTTTAAATTCTAAAATATTCTCCTCTATGTTCTTTGCAATTATAAAGAAGATCCTTGTGAAAAAATATAATTTTAATATAGTTACAAGTCTTTTGAAATCGTCATGCCCACTATTTTTTTTTTTTAATTAATGAATTAACGCTAGTGTTGACAAACCTCATTGACCAAATGCCAATTTTTGACTGAATAAATGAACTTAGCTCGATTAAATTTTACACAAAGATAGATAGCAGTGTCATTAAAAATTATTAAAGCTATTTTTCATATTTTGTTATAGGATTTTTTAGTTATTTGAAGTTATATAAAACAGATGCCGACTATTGGTACATGCCGGAATTAGGTGCGTTTACCCTATATTAATTACAAGGTAGGGCACAGCTACCAACTGATTAAATTTTTTTTCTCAAGGTGGCTTGTTCAATCAAATCAAAATACATATTTTGTGTATGTGTGCGTATTGTTTTGAATACTATGTCAAATAAATTCAAAATAAATTGAAATATATTCAAGTTTAATTGAAATGAAAATGATGTTTTTAACACGTTCGTCTGGAAGTAATTACTTTGTTATGGATGAAACAAAGATTTTATGGTATTCCCTACTGAATTTTGGAAAGAAATCATAACCTTTCCTTCATTTTGGCGTTTTTTGTTTTGTGTTGGAAAAATGTCAAATAAACACAAACACTTGTTGCGTATATTTATTTTTGGCAGGAGAAGTGCATAGTTGCACTTGTATTATTATTATATTGTATTATTGTACCATGGATCTACTGGATTTTATAAATCCGGTATAATATAAACGTACTATTTGTAGCTTCTACATTTGAAAATGTTTCATAATTATCCATGTTTACAATGGTTCTTGACATGCGTATATTTAAAATGGATAGTGTCTCCAGTTTCGACAATTAATGTATGAACTCAATTGTCTTCGACTGTCTTGTCGCTTGTAAACGCAGGATAAAATGCTGCTTGTGAAGTTCAGGGCCGTACCTAAATTCAAGTGTATGCGTACGATTTTATTCACCTCAAAAATTAAATACATTGCGTATAAAAATAAAAAGTTTAACATTTTCAACATTGACAATGCGTATTTTGGATTTTTTGCTTTTTAAAAATTTTATACCAGTCATTGAAAAATGTGTTTTTCTATACATGTAAACATTTTTCGGTTAATTAAGAAAATGTGTTCATCAATTTCCGCCGTTTTCAATCGATACACAAGTAAATAAGGTCCTTGATTATTTGGGTAATACGGACGTTCAACAAACCCTATAAAGGTGAACAGGTGAATATTTTAGTACGCAATGCACTGAATTTAGGTATGACCCTCATGTAGGCTCAATTCTCTTTCGTTTTTCATTTACTGGGCATAAATTTGATTTTTTATGCTTTTCGTTTTATTTTTTAATAATTTGTTTTCAAGATGTTGCACGGTATAATAATAAAAGCAAGTGTTGTTGTACAACATACGATACAACAACCACATGGAAATTTGTTTTTGTAAGTTATACTAGTGTCAACGTCATTTGACAGAAAAATGTAAACAAACAAAAAATTATATTTATTTTGAAAATGAAATATTTTCGAATCCTCAAAATAAAAATGAAAAACATGAATGAACGTCTATCAAATTTACATTTCTATCGCTTCCACATTTTTTCTATTATTGAGCCCATGGTATTATAATAGAAGGTAACAGCAATTGTTGTTGTACAAAATACGATACAACAACCACATGGAAATTTGTTGTTGTAAGTTCTACTAGTGTCAACTCATTTGACAGAAAAATGTAAACAAACAAATTATCATCAAATTATTTTTATTTTGAAAATGAAATATTTTCGAATCCTCAAAATAAAAATTGAAAAACATGAATGAAAATCTATCAAATTTATATTTCTATCGCTTCCACATATTTCCTATAATTGAGCCATTGCCATATATATGTGTAACACATATGAAAATGCTGGGAATAGCGAGTTATTCCTTGAAGAAAGATTTGCTTCCTCAAACTTTCCCAGCAGGCAGATTGAGTAAATTGAATACGGGAGCACATTTAATAAAGAACAATTTTAAATTGTATGCGTTCCCAATTTTCCTGTTGGGTGATTTTTAAAAACATAATTTGTCAAATTCATATTGACACTAGTATTACGTTGCAATCAAATCAGCTGGGATTTGCTGTTACCTTTTATAAATGTACCATGTATAGCCACTTATATGTGTAAAGGGTCCCATACACTATAAATCATGCCGTCATGCCGATGAACCCCTTTCTGTATATGTGAGTTTGGCTGGTTTATGGCAAACTTCAATCACTATTCCAAAAAATCGATTTTTGTCCCAAAAATTGCATTTTGTGTCGTAAATTCAGTTGTTTTTTATTCCGTCATAATTTTATTATTTTTCTATATAAATTTTTTTACTGACAACTTTCAAACAGAATATTATTCACCAGATTGATAGGTTTTTATTTTCAAAATCAAAACTATTTTGATTTTCTTCATGCATTGCGTGTGTCACACATACATAAATAAACTTTCAAAAAATAACACATACTATGTCCCAATTTATATTAGGTGAGTTTAATTGCGCCAAGTCTTTGTTTGAAGGAGAGAGGGGCAAGGGGAATAGAACTTGAAAAATTGCTCGTACCGACAATTTTCTGGCAATTCGTTTTGTGAATTTTGTTTGTAGTGTCAGTAATTTTAAATACCAATCCAGAACATTGTCAAAAAAAAAATATTGAAAATATTTGAAATCGAATTGCCTTGTATAGACGAATGAAGCAAGTTCAAAAGAGAACGATAAAAATAGCCGCAAGTAAACTCGCCTAATATAAATCAGGACTATGATAAATGCTGTACGGCATGATGTATAGTGTATGGAGCCCTTAACACATATGAAAATTCTGGGAATTGCGAGTTATTCCATGAAGAAAGATTTGCTTCCTCAAACTTTCCCAGCAGGTAGATTGAGTAAATTGAATACAGGAGGACATTTAATAAAGAAAAGTTTCGAATTGTATACGTTCCCAATTTTCCTGTTGGGTGATTTTTAAAAACATAATTTGTCATATTCATATTGACACTAGTATTACGTTGGAATCAAATCAGCTGGGTTTTGCTGTTACCTTTTATAATTGTACCATAAAGATGTTGTTTGAAAAGTAAATGAAAAACATTTTAAACACAGTTTCGATCCGATAATAGTTTTCGTTCGAAATTCAGGTAGAAATGGTTCCGATCGTTCATTTAATAGAATCCGCATTGCTATCAGATGATTCCTATTCCTCTCGGCCGTTGTTTATTACAATCATTCGTAAACAATATCAACTCTCGGTCATTTTGTTTTGAGTGTATTATTTATCCGCCATTCTCTCTTGTCTCTTGCAAATGGGACGTTTTTAAGTTCAATCGGCTCAGAAGTGACGCAAAGAAACAAAGAGGGCTTACGACCAACTTCACTCTCTCATCACTTCACCTACCTTCTTCCAATTGGTCCAATTGGAAGAAATTAATATTTCGCAAAATAATTCACCAAAACTCAGATTTCAATATGTTTTAAGATTTCATTACTTCGGGACATTGTTTTAGAACGGATCGATCATCGTTTGCCACAATGTCCAACAACGTGTTCGCTCATACGAGGGAGGCGGTGCGTTGCAAAGTGAAGGTAAGTTGGCACGATGGAATGTGAATGGCAAGAGTGGCTCAAGGATTTTTACGTTTCTCTTGTTGATGTTGTTTCTATTGCAGAAATGTGAACCGAATCGACCGCCGGAATGGCGTAAGTTCAGCGTTGACCCTCAAATAACCTCTTTAGAAGTGTTATATTCATTGTTAGCCAAAGCCTTCGATATCAAATCGGACTTCTCCATAAAATATAAGGCGTACGATCCAGCCGGTAATGAAATATACCTGGCTGTCTTGTCCGATTGGGACTTGGATGCGGCATTTCTCAGAATTCACAATATATCCATACAGACATCTACGGAACCATGCCTTATGTTACAGATCGACATTAAACCCTTTACCGAAGTGAAGGATTGGGATCCCGAGAGTACGGCCAGTGCATCATCGGCGTTGATTGGTTCGGGATCAGTCAGCAGCAGCACTGGAGTAACACCCACGGGCTCATCGGCTCGTGAGTTAATATCACCGCTGCAGCAGTCCATTGGAGCTTCACAAAAATATGTCCAGCAAATGCAAACAAAGTTGCCCGGTCTTATCATGAATCAAATGGAGAAGACCTTTACGATGGTTCAGAAGGCATTTAATCTCAACGAAGAAACAATGGCTGCAATGCCACCTAGGCCATCGTTGGCTGACAATGAATTCCGTATGTACTTGGATGCCCTGGGTCAAATCCAAAGGACAGATGAACTACGAAAGGTGATTTTCTTGGGTGGCATCGATCCCAGTCTGCGAAGGGTGGTTTGGAAGCACATCCTAAATGTTTACCCTGCCGGTATGAATGGTCATCAACGGATGGACTATATGCGCCGCAAATCGGAACAATATTATCAATTACGAGACGTATGGAAAACGGCCATAAAACAGGGTAAGAACAATTCGATAGGAACAAAGCATTTAATATTACAGTGTCCCCCCCTTCCTTTTACAGGTTACGTAGTTGGGGAATTGGCGTATGTCACCAGTATGGTTAAGAAGGATGTCTTGCGCACGGACCGACTGCATCCATTCTATGCAGGCAATGACGACAATCAGAATATAGCCTCCCTTTTTAACATTCTTACTACATATGCTCTAAATCACCCATCAGTCAGCTATTGCCAAGGCATGTCCGATATAGCCTCTCCGCTGTTGGTAACGATGAATGATGAAGCACAAGCTTACATTTGCTTCTGCGCCATCATGGAGAGGGTGAGGGGGAACTTTATGCTGGACGGAATAGCAATGACACAGAAATTTGCTCATCTTACTGAAGCGTTAAGCTATTACGATTCGGATTTCTGGGAGTACTTAAAATCACAGCAAGCAGATGACCTTCTCTTCTGTTATCGTTGGTTGTTGCTCGAAATGAAAAGAGAGTTTCCCTTCGAAGATGCGCTACGGATGTTGGAGGTTCAGTGGAGTTCTTTGAAGTACGAAACTAGCGTTGATAAGGAACTGAAGTTGTTTGAAAAGGAGTTTGTACCAATCACTGAAACGATTTTACCATCTACACCAACTAGTGTTGGCGGCGCAATGCCTCCTATTAGCCCTTCTTACTTCATGGCAAAGCCACGAGAGAATGCCTATACAAAGGTTTGCGACTTGAGGAGACAGAGTTCCTCTGCTTCATTACATTCACTAAGCTCATCTCTTACGTCAAGTCTAAATCAGGGATCTGGATCATTCACATCCAAATTGGATTGCACTAGACGCTTGAATCAAAGCCTTGATGATAATATGGCCCGCCATGTTGCTACAAAACGCAACAGACGGAAAATCCCATCTAATCGACAATCTTTGGATGAGACCAAAATGTTGCAACTACTTGAAGGCCGACATGAAACTCCAGATGCTCTAGAAGTGTGTTCAACAGCTACGCCAGATAGGCAGCTAGACACAGACCAATCGGAGGACGATGATGTGTTTTCTGATCACAGTAGTCATTTTACGTTTCACGATACAAATCCATTTAAAGACGATACCTCCATGAAGACAGAAAACGCTCCCACACCCAGATCGTCGGGAATACACAAGGCATTCTTGAGTAGCAGTTCATCGTCGTCCTTGGTTGGCTCCGACCTTACAAACAATGGCACGAATAACGTATCTCAGGATGATGGGCTAACTAATGAAACGGGCGATAAGAAAGCACTTCCACTGCCCAAGGGCATTGCAAAATTACAAAACAAAAAAATAATATCCAATTATAATACTGTGAGCAATATAATTGTAAAACAGTTAACGAATGCCAGTAACACGAGTGGAGGTCATTTCAAAGATCTCAAGGAAAAAATTGCAGCCACTAGTCGAAAGGGTAAGTAATGGACTGGCATTTAATTTTGACTAATGATTCACAGTCATGTGTATAATCTGACAGGTTTGTCTCTCGAAGAATGTAACGAGAAATCTCAACAACGATTGGTGAAAAATTTCAATGAATTTCTGAATTTTGCATCTATGAACAAAAGCCGTGTGGGAAATGTCGACAAGACAAGTACGTCAGTTTTGTCAAGCGACGACAACGTTGCACAAAAATCACGCAAAACACCTTCTCCGCAAAAGCTTTCTCCCACACCTCATCCCCTTGTACAACTCACCAAAGGAGGTTTTACCTCATCACTTGAAGAGTCCGACTCATCGTCAATACCTGACACAACCAATAACACCTGGAGCTGTTCAACAGCGGCCACAGCAATACAACAAGCAAATAATTTAAGCAGCAATAGTTTACATCTAGAGCTCAATTCACTTTCTTCCCAAACTCACACACCAGAACGTACGCCTACAATGGAAGCGACATCACAACATAAACGTCAAAATGCTAGGACACCCAGCCATCAGGAAATCCGACATGACCATGCGAATACCACACCAGAGGAAGGTCCAGATTTAGACTATCCGGCGATAATACGAGAGTTGCACATGGAAGCTGATAATTTAGATAGGCAGGTATTTGGTGACAATACAGTTACTAAGGACTCCACATGTTCAGAAATTGAATATGAAAAACTTGGGAAGGACTCGTTGGATATGATAGAAGATCTTGATGTGGATCATGATAGTAATGCCTTAAGAAGTTCTGTTGAAAATCACAGCGAAGTCAGAGCCATGCTAATTCCAAATGGAGGATTAGATCCAAATGTGAATGGAAATAATAAAAATAGAAATAACGACAGTGTTACTTTGAATCCTTTTCTCGAGGAAACTGCAAATCCAGGTTATTCAACTAAAGTGGAGAAAGGCATTAAGAATAGCAGTAGTTGTGAACCTTTTTACAGCCACGCATCAAGTAGTTCGAGTTCATTGCCCGAAGTTTTGATTCCTGTTTCAACTACTGTACCCGAGACAGGCGATGTCGATGAGATGGCTACAAATGCGGCTGATGAAGTCGCCTTTTCAAAAACGTCATCATCAATGCAGCAGTCCATCCCCAGCGGAAACTCTACAAATTCCACACCGGCAACAAGATTGCCACCGCCTTCGGAATTTGGAGGTGGCAATCCGTTCCTTATGTTTCTCTGTCTTACTTTACTATTGCAGCATCGGAATGTCATTATGAAAGCCCACATGGACTACAATGAAATAGCAATGCACTTTGATAAAATGGTGCGTAAGCATGATGTGACTCGAGTTCTGAACCAAGCTAGACGCATGTATATTGATTATTTAAAAAGTTATGCAGCACACAACCAAGAACGGCAACAGCACCAACACGAACAGCAATCCTCAGTAATAGCAAATAGTGCACCACAGCATTTAAACGATCTCAGTAGAAATGCAACGACGGCAATACAATCACCACCACAGAAGTACCATCACAGTCAAACACAAAGAAAGTTCCAACAACATTCCAGCAACCAAGCGCCAACATCTTCGTCATCATCATTTCATACGAAATCGTAAAGAAAGCGCAAAATAAAATGTCTGTTGCATTTGATTATAATTAATTATGTATATGGAAACACCAAAGATTGTTAACAGTGACTGGATAATAGTATTGTTCTTTTTTTCTTATTTAACCCTTCGTATATTCGGTAGCTGTTTTCACTTATATAAAAAGACTCTGATTTTTGTAACAATAAAAGAATTTATCGTATGTACTTATTATTAGATATAAAGTCTTCAATGTATTGTTTCTTTTTATTTTCTAATTTATTAAAAATGTATTTTGTTGGCTGATTTCTTTAAGAAATATATTCTTTCATTTGACCCATTCCATGTTCTATTGTTAACCAAATGACTAATTCATATGTAAAGTGTGAAGAAAATAGCATAAATATGAAAAATAAAAAATAAAATACTTTATTCTACACATATGTATATCGTATAATTATGAACGTGTATATGTATGTACTACCAGGACAAAAGGATATATGAACATCTATTAACAATGGTATATCCAAACAAATATATATTGTAAAATATTTCAAATTCGCTTTTAAAAATCGATAAATAAATTTATTTAACAATCTAATTGAATATAAAAGATTATAGTATTTTTTAGTGTAAGAGCATTGTGTGTTAAGATACTGTATATATACACAACATACGCTAATCTATACATTTAGAAAATACACGCGGACTCACTTCTCACAATAAGCAGAAGAAATGTTTCATGTTAGAAACTTATTAGGCCGCCGGATTTAAATTTTGACTGACTATCGTCCATTCTATAATCCCAACACATTGTCTGATGTGTTTATAAGAAATGATTTGATTTGTCTGTGGTCAGTTTCAATTTGAACACACTTCACTTCGTGTATCATACTTACTTACTTAGCTTGCTTCTTACAGAATGGTTGTCCCATAAGCCGAGCTTAAAAAAGATTGGCTTAAGTTGAGTTTAGGGGCTCATCTCCGATTTTTCTGAAATTATTACCACAGGTAGATCTCGTCTCCCTGATCACGAAAATATATGACATTCATGGGGGAAACCCATATTTCCCGACATATGGACCTCTGAAGTTCCGGAATTCATATGCTCATAACTTGGACATTTGTAGGCCGACAATGGTAATATTGACGGATATTTAGAGAAACATGTTTATTTAAAAGAAAATTTCGATCGCATTTTCTATCTGTCCATAGGAGAAAGTCTTAAATCCCCGGCCGAAGGCCGGCTATATAAGAAAAACTTTGATATAAAGGAAATTTTAATCGCGTAGCCAATTTTTCACCTGTCCATAGCAGAAAGTCTTCAATCCCCGGCCGAAGGCCGGCTATTTAGAAAAAAAATTAGTTTAAAAACATTGTTGATGCGTTAGCCGAATTTTCCGCCTGTCCATAGGAGAAAGTCTTAAATCCCCGGCCGAAGGCCGGCTATATAAGAAAAACGTTGATATAAAGGAAATTTTAATCGCGTAGCCAATTTTTCCACCTGTCCATAGCAGAAAGTCTTAAATCCCCGGCCGAAGGCCGGCTATTTGGAAAAAAATAGTTTAAAAACATTGTTGATGCGTTAGCCGAATTTTCCGCCTGTCCATAGGAGAAAGTCTTAATTACCCGGCCGAAGGCCGGCTATATAAGAAAAACTTTGATATAAAGGAAATTTTAATCGCGTAGCCAATTTTTCCACCTGTCCATAGCAAAAAGTCTTAAATCCCCGGCCGAAGGCCGGCTATTTAGAAAAAAATTAGTTTAAAAACATTGTTGATGCGTTAGCCGCATTTTCCGCCTGTCCATAGGAGAAAGTCTTAAATCCCCGGCCGAAGGCCGGCTATATAAGAAAAACGTTGATATAAAGGAAATTTTAATCGCGTAGCCAATTTTTCCACCTGTCCATAGCAGAAAGTCTTAAATCCCCGGCCGAAGACCGGCTATTTAGAAAAAAATAGTTTAAAAAACATTGTTGATGCGTTAGCCGAATTTTCCGCCCGTCCATAGGAGAAAGTCTTAAATCCCCGGCCGAAGGCCGGCTATTTTGGATAATTTTTAATTAAGACGAATTTAAGTGGAAATATAATGTGTACGCTTTACAATCATACCAATATTACCTTCACCGATTCATAAATAACGAAGTTATGAGCATAGGAATTTCGGAACTTTAGAGGTCCATATCTCGGGAATTATGGACTTCCCCCATGAAAGTTATATATTTTCGTGATCAGGGAGACGAGATCTACCTATGACAAAAATTTCAGAAAAATCGGAGATGAGCCCCTAAACTCAACTTGTTCCAAAAGATTTCCAAGCGCGTCGGTCTTGTGCGCATCTCCTTCAATTTAAAAGACCACGTTCCAAGATGTTGTTTTCTACTTGGTCTTTCCATCTAATTCGTGGCCATCTCCTTCTACGGGAACCATCAGTAGGTTCGCTTTTATATGTTTTGTGAGCTGGGACATTCTCATTCATTCGCACAACATGGCCTAGCCACCGTGGTCGCTGCAGCTAAATACGACTGACTATGTCGATGTCCGCGTATAAATTGTAGAGCTCGTGGTTCATTCGACGCCGATATTCACAATCGACGCAGATCGGAGAATTTTTTTCAAACACCCCTTAAGAGCTGCCTCATCTGCTTGCGCAAGTACCCATGCTTCAGGGGGGTTACTCTGTATTGTGTTGCGAAAGCCAGTGCGATGCGAAAGCTAAATGCGTTAAGAGTGCAATTTGGTACTCTGTATCGCTCACGCAAACGCATTCGCAAAATAAATCCAAAATAGGGCAACACTGGGACCACAAAGTAAACAATAACGAAAAATGACAAAAGGAAACGTCAACAAATTGTAAATAAAAACATATTTTTATGTGGTACGAGTGTTTTTTTTTAAACAAAATGACGAACCAACTAAAAAAAAGAATTTTAAGAGAAAATAGAAGTACGAATAATGTGTCAAACGTTTTCAAATATTTAATTTTTATAAATTTGTACAAAATTTTCGTCACAATAAAGATGCGTTTATGTTTTTAGTAAACGCTATTAAAAATGACCTCGTCGTTCCAAATAGATCCACAGCAATTCCAAATCCAATAAAAGTGGACGTTGAAATTGCTTGGACAAGGTGGTTATCAACACCAACCTGTAAATATGCACACATAGTTTCACATTTTATATATAAAATATAAAACATTACTTTTTCCCAACCAGCGACATCTCTTACAGGAGGTCCATCTGAATTAAGGTCATCATCCAGTTTTCTCTACAATTTTTTGGCGCGTCGTTTCGCATTTGAACTCTACAACTGGCCCCTTGCCAAATCGCTGTGTTGCACCATAAAATCTACTAAAGTTTGGAACTGACGGTGCTGAGTCGTCAACTGTAACTTTTTTTGGCTTTCACCCAAAATAATTATCAATTTAGATGTAAATAAAAACTTTAATTTTTCTTATTTACATGTTTCGCTTCATTTGCGTTTGCTATTTTGTTAACGCAAGATATTTGCGTTTAACGAACGAGTTTGACATGCGTTTTCGCATTACAGATTGCGGTGATGCCACATTTGCGTAAAGTAGATGCGAAAGGAGATACGAAAACGAATTAGAGAGTACCAATTACGCGATGCGATACAATTTTTCTTACGCATCGCAATACAGAGTAACCCCCCAGATCCATATAACAGCACGTGTAGTATCAGCGTCTTGTAAAGTGTGAGTTTGGTCTGGCGGGAGGTGGCCTTGTTTCCAAACTGCTTACTTAGATCATAGTAGCATCTGTTGATACTTCGTGTATCATATCTGTGACAAATCCGTCATTCTATTTTGTTTACTTACCTTAAGCAGTAATATTTATTTCCTTTGTTATAGCCTTAAAAATCTCTTCATAGTCTTAAAAACGTAAAAATGTTTTTATTGATTTTTTTTATTTTCATTTAAAGCTTGGACAAAAATACATAAAGTATCAAAAAATGTTGAAAGTGCAATCTGTAACATAAAAATACACAAAAAACATATAACAAAAATGTGATTTGGGTTATGGGACCAAATGAAAACTAAGGAGATGATTACAAATATATATGACAGAAATTCCAGCTGCCTAAAACGTAGTTGTTTGCAAATGAAAAAATAGATAGATGATAGAAAATAAATGTGAATGCAGATTATAAGCCGTATTTTAATTTGAGACGTTCGCGAATGAGTAGACCTCGTATTAGTTTCTTCCAATTACCGTACACACGCGCCTCGTATTTCTCCTGCTCTTTACGCTCCTGTTCTTCTTGTTCCTGATACCAGGCGGCAGTAACTTGATCTTGGAATTCTTCGCAAATGACAAAACCATCATAGGTAGGATGACAAGCGCCTTGATGAAAATCAAATCCAACCACAGCATTGGCGCAATCAATGCCAAGTTTTTTGCAAACACGATTTAGACCAGGCACTAGAGCAGACACAATTAGCCATCTACGCAAAATATAACTACATTAAGTACTTACAACGCATGTGAACACATTTCTTGGGTAACATAGTCGGTTTAAATAGTTCCACATTGCCATAGGCATTACGTGGAACAATGCCATTCTCTGCTGTAGGTGGATCGTATTCCTCAGTTTGCCAGTAGCCAAATATTTCCAATGGCTGATCTTTAATGATAGTTTGTGTAATCTAAGAAGTGAGGAAGAGAAAGAAATGTGATATATCCCTTAAAAAACTCCATTTGATATACAAACATACTCTGTCCCACTTTGGCCTAGCTTTAACAATTTTGTAAGGCTTTTCGCCCAATTTAACAACTCTCGCCTGCTTCAGCCAAATTTCTCTTGAATGTAAAGTGTGAACACAATCTCTGGAGTATACAGCCTCACCACGAATAAAACCCAAAGTCGGTGCTGTCGGTGGATAAATGGCTTCAAATTTAAGCAGATGTCGTTCCAATGCATAGAATGGATGGTTTTTATAATCGCTTATTGATGTTGGCAATGGCTTCTCTTCGTGTATGCGTCGCAATTCTTGGTCTTCCTTGATATCACGTTTTGTACGGTGACCCAGGTATTTTTGCAGAGCCGTATCCAGCCATGACTTTTCAACTCTTGATTTGCGAACAACATTGGTCCAGTGTGGATTATACCGTGCAGTGACATCTTTTATACTGAGGTCATTTTGGAAGGCAAATATGTAAGCCATATTTGGAGAGGCAGATTTCTAAATGAAAAAAAAAACACAATCGATAAAAATTGCAAAATATTATTTTATCAAATAACTGCTCTTTACAAATGTCCACATTTTCACACGAATTCATTATCTTACCCTGATAGTATCGACACAATGAATCTTCCCCTTGAATAAATCCAAACAAATCCATTGTTCTTCAACGTCACTCCAAACTTCCACCCACATATCACCAGCTGTCGGCTTTCTTTGTCTATCCGGACTGCTCTCCTCATCTGTAGACAGAACACGACGATCTTTTTTTGCAACTGTTGGAGCTATTTTTGGTTTCTTTATTGGTGATGGTTCAAAATCTTCATCGGAATCATGGCTGACATTTGTTTGGGAAGTTAGTTTTTTCTTTCGTGTGCTTTTTTTGTTACGAGAACCCTGTGTTTGAGTATTATCATCATGGGCACCATCCATTTGGGGGATTTGCAGATGAACAGTGCTTTTTTGAGCTTCAACTGTTTCCGATTCATTCGGTTTTTGACTGGAACGTAGTACCCTCTTATTTGTTGTCTTCTTGTCGACATGAGAGAGGAAATCGGCAGATATCTTCACTTTTTCGCTGGGACTTTTTCCACGATCTTGTCGATTTTTTACATTTGTATTTTGTTGTATAATGCCTGGGAATTTTTCTCTGTACTGTTTTGTTTGCAAGAACGCTGTTGATATGTGAATTTGAGGAGATTTTGAACGGGATCTGGTAGCCCGGGTACGAGTAGATGTTGTTGGTGGGTCCTCAGTTGACGGCGTGTCGTTTACTATTTCTTTACCGCCCTTAATTACAACTGTTGGAATCAATGGAGTTCCTGATTCGATAACCAGTTTCTTTTTAGGTGGCTTATCAGGATCATCTGCAACGTTATTCCGTTTTAACCTAGCCAAATTGGCTTTCTTGGGTTTGGGCGAATTTTCTTTTTGTGAATTTTCTAATTCTTCATTATTGGCGGAATTGTGTTCTTGCTTAACAGTGACTTCTGGTTGTTTTTCATTGGAGGTTTGTACTAGGGAGAGAGTATCAGTCGATTTACCGCGAGTTTTTGCCTTTGTTACTGGATTTTTGGCTCTGGCTTTTCTTTCACTTTTAACGGCCTGGGTAGATGACGATTTGTTACTATCTGCATGGGTAGGTTCAGATGATTTGGAACGCATTCTAGATATTTTGGGCTTAGCTGCGCTGGTATCTTTGGATATATTGTCTAGATTTTCCAAGTGTTTTTCTTCATCCGTTGAGGTGTCTTTTTGAACATTAATAGTTGCCTTTTCAATTTTCACTGCTGCCTTTGGTACTGTAAGTTTATTTAAATTAGGTTTATCTGTTGCCTTTTTCGAAGTAGATGAGGTTTTAGTGTTGGGTATTGCCTCCTCTTTCGACGCAGCAGATTTGTTTAGAAGCTCTTTTTTATCTTCCTGACTGTCTTTAATTTTGTCTGCAGTTTTAACCGACTTTGTTAATTTTTCTACTGCAGACTTTGAACAATTTGGCTTTTCCTTGGATTCGTTGTGCTTATTATCTCTTTTTACGGTTTCCTCTTTGACGGCTTTGATTTTAGATGATGTGCCTGGCTTTTCAACGTGCTTAGAAGTTGTTGTTGTTTTCTTCTCGTCACCTGTCGTCTTCACTGTAGCACGTTTGCCTTCATCCTTGTCATCCTCCTTTTTCACTTTCATTGATATCAAATCGGATTGCTGAGGTTTCAATGGCAAGGGTTGCATATTATTTATCAAACGACACTGGAGACCCATTCCACGCAACAATATTATAAATATGAATATATAATCCTGCTTGCACCTAGCTTGTTTGTTCTCAATCTGCATGAGCAGTTGGCGATGTGCCATTGCTTTCTTCTTTATTGCTTTCTTGTCTGGGTACAAATTTTGGGAATTCAATTGTATGGTGCTTTTAAACCAGGTCACCAATGATTGGTAGTACTTGATTTCAGTACCTCTTTCGGGAGGATATGCATTTTTGCTAGGCAAAAGTTTTAGAGACTTTTGCATGAGTATTGTGTCATTAAGCAGCCGATTATAACGATAGGTACGGCCGAAATGACACAACAAACTGGCCTTGTGCATTAGAAGCTGACGTTCTCTCATGTCTCGATTGAATTTTCTCTTCAAAGCCATTTCTAAGTCCTGTTGTGTACGGGTCTTTTTGTCTTTTTGCTGTCTTCCAGGCAATTCAATGTGAATTTCAAGGTTACCGGAATGGGAAATGTCACTAGATGCCGTTGTTGAAGTATCAGCATATTGGGAAGAATCTGAGAGAAAATAAAATTCGTCATCATTCAGTAAAATTTCAGATATACATATAAAATTTGTTTAATCTGCATATTTTATGGAAAGAAGGAAAGAAGTTTATACTTACGTACATATTAAACAGTTTACAAATTCTAACACTAATCATGAATAATCAGAAGCCCTAAAAATGGATTTGAGATTACGAAAATTCGGGGTGAAAGTATAGTGCCATATCCTAGAAGAGATACTGTTTTCGGACAGTAAAGTCACTAGCACAAAGTGAAAACCCCCCGTCTTAAATAGAGGAGTAAAAAAAGCACATTAAATTTCTGAAAAAAAAAAAAATTATTATACCCTCATACATAATGCTAAAATGTGTGAAATTTCATTCGGATATTTTGGAAATACCTTTTTTACCTACATGAATTAACCCGTTTATGCAACACTATTCTTAATTCATTTCTTCTTTTACACCGAAATTTCAACGTATTTGTGTGCATTACCTATGAATTTAAATAGAAAAAATAATTATCTTTCTCCTGAGTATAGTAAGAATCTACAGTTATTTACTTTTAATTTATGTTTTCCATTTTAATCATGTTTATACTTTTCATTCATCGCTTCCATTTTTTCTGAAAAAAATTGTAAATTTTAGAAATTTGTTCATGCTGCCAAAATTACTATATTTTCGATATATGCTCTCAGTTGTTAGGGATGGGACGAATTTATTTGTTGTTTAGAGAGTGATTCGAATTGAACTACGTACAAAAATCGGTGTTCGCTCAGAAAATTTTGTGTGGGGAACTAAGTAATTATTTCTTAATTCAGGGTCGAAATACGGATAGCATTTTTGTAAAGTAGAATATCATTTTGTGGTGTCAACCTACTAATCGTTATTATAGGCCCATATTTTGTTTTTAATTTAAAAATTTAATTTAATTTAAAACGCATGCATTTAAGGGTTTTTTTAGTCCAGTCATTTCTAAAAACTAGTGCTTTTATCAACTAGTAATAACTACTTAATGGAACAATAAAGCTAACTTTGAATAAGAAAAAAAAGACAAAAAATGCGTTTGGATATATTTTATAACATTTATTTGTGTGTATTCAGCAAATGTCAAATGTGCTTTAAATCAAACTTTGTTTTCATTTTTCAACATCCATTCAACGTTTAAAAGTCTGGCAAACAAACATATTAAATTTCGTGAAAATACACACACACACTCATAATAATAATAACATTATGATTGACATTGATGATATTGAATAGTTGTGATTTGATTCTGTTGTAACATTTCGATATTTGTGTTTTATATTGCACTAGTATTTTTTTCTATTATTTTTGATTTTGTTTTTTAATTTTTTGGTAATTGTAATCTTTATTTTTGTATAGTGTTTTATTTTTAAACAAACAGTTGTTGTATGTATGCATGTTTTGTATTGTTTTTGTTTTTAATTATTGAACTAATTATTTAATATATGTTGAGAACTAACTTGTGTATTACTATGTAGACTTCATAGGTTTTATTCTAAATCAAAGATGCTAATATTGGATTTAAACCAAACTTTTTTATTTGTTTGTAATATATAATTTAATATTTTTTTATATAATTTCAACATATGAATACATTTTTAAAGTAAATTCGTTTTAATTCAGTTCTAAATATTTAAATTAACTACATTGACTAGTTTTGCGTTTTTCCCATTTTTGACAAGATTTACAAAAGTAGCATCTTCTTTTTAGTTTATATTTGTAATATCTGACATGGCAAATATATGAATGCATCATTTTGATTCAAATTACCGTAATGGTTAATCAGTTACCACTCCACATCCTATTATTATTTTTTGTGCCGACCATTGTTATTAGTTTTATTATCAATATTGCATTTGTTGTTATTATCAAATATTTTTTAGAATTTCGTATAAATAAAATTGTCGTTATTCCTAACTATATCTAATAACTGCTACAATAGGTTACGCTCGAGAAAAACCCTTAAATGCATTGAAACTTAAACGATGAGATCATAATAAATATAATTAAAAAAGAGATAACAAAAGGACGAGTAAAAGAGTTGGAAAACATATTTTTGTAAACAAAAAACATTAAAATATTCAGTATGGCGATATTATGGACTTATATAATTGAGTATGCAAAGTAGAGACGTTTAAATTACCATTTATCACGTGAGGATTGATCTTTTTCAGATTTCACTGATGAACTTTCTGTTATAATTTAAAAGATTTCATACCGAATTCTAATTAAATATAATTATCTAATTAGTTTAACGTATATTTTGTCATCGTAAAATTATCCGAGTCCATAATTCGTTAAATTTGTTGAAGTGTAAAAAAGAAAAACATATCTGTCGACAACGTAAAATTGTAAAAAGAAATTGAAAAGAAAAGATTGCGTTGAATACAAAATATCACAACCTTTAATTTTTAATATAAAAATAAAAATATACAAAATTTCGTTCTTGATAGCTATGAACAAGCTACATATTCGAGACTGTTTTCGAAATTAAAATTGTGAATTTATCCATTAATCGTTAAATTGTACAAAATTCCGAAACACTCTCAATTGTAATTATTAGATTATCATCGCACGCCGCATTGTTCATTACTATCATAAACTAAAGATGATTTATGAAATATGTATTATCTTGCATTTTGCTTATGATGGCTTCTATTCTTCTTATTATTTTCTAGATGTGTGTGTTCTTTTTTTAGATATGGAGCTTATCTTTATCGTCTTTAATTTTGCAATAGCATTTAATATCTTTGCAGTCTCGTTTGTAATACTGAAACTGTGGAAGCGCGCGCATTAGAGACCTTATATTAGAAAATATCCCCTTCGTTTAATTCAGTTAAATATCTTCGTTAGTTTTTAGTTGTCTTAGGGACAACACTAAATTATAAAATTACAACAAATCAGACACACACACAGTCAAAAATATGTCATTAAAAATTAACTACAATCATAACAATGACGATACGATTACGCCTATAGCCAACCAACCATCACCAACCAATATACAAGGTGTCACTACTTGCGTTTCCTACCTGCAACTTCCTCAAAATCGGAATCGTCCGTTTCGCCGCCCGCCACCACAGTAGAGGCTGGTCGGGTTTTGGTATGACGTTTGACGCGAGTTGATTTCGTTTTGCTCAGTTTCGACGGTTCTTTGCCATGACGATCTCTGCTGCTACCCTTTGATCTGACATCTTCCTCTTCTTCGTCATCATCGTCCTCTTCGTCCTCACCATCGTTGTGAGATCGATGTTGTTTTTCGCCCAATGCAAGTATCGAATATACATCCATGGTATCAATTTGAGACCCCAACGATTTCTTGGAAGGTGTGCCAGCTTTCATAGCAGCTGCCTCCTCAGCGGCGTGCTTTGCCAACGATTCTTTTACCCTCTCCAGGCTTTTGGCATTTTGTAATAAATCACTAAAATCAAAAGCCTTAGTGTCTTCTGTTTTATGAAAATTACCGGAATCGTTGTTTTCGTCAGCATCGGATTCTGAGTCTGATAAATTACCCAAACCAGCGTTGCAATCAAAATTGGGCACTGGTGACACTGATGGTTTGCATTCGTTAGCTTTGTCCAAATTAAATAAACTGGACTCGAAGTCAATTTGATTTGGATCAACCAAATAGTTGTCGATGCTGCCGTCGCTGCTAGAGCCATCGTCTTCGTTATCGTTGCGTTTTCTACTACTTTCATTGGGCGTTTTGGCGTTTTTTGAGTTCGTACGTGAAGTAGAGGCCGATGGTGAATTTTTGCCTTCACTACTCGGCGGAGAACATGTCTTTGGCAGTGGCCTATATTTGTTGTACAATTTGGCACGTAATGACAGGCCAGGTCGCTTCTTCGATGTTCCTTTTTTGGCAGCACTGCGTGCTTTTGGCTCCCGTTCCCCTCTGTTTCAAGGAATAAGTATTGGATTAGTTACATTGCCAATGAAAGACTTTACTTTAATAGCCTACCTTTTCCTTCCGCCTCCACCGCTGGATGCGCTAATAGCAGCTATTGGCGATGACTCCTCGAAATCACTATCGTCATCGTCCGACGATTCGCCGCCACGAGTTTCCTTACTGGGTTTCCACTCGTCCTCACTGGCGGAAAATCCTTCCGACATAGATTCTTCTTCGTCAGACATGTTGGTTTTCTCAGTGCCAGGTTAGGTAAACTTCTTCGTTCTTCTCTAATCTACTTCCTTGTTCATTCCTCTCTCTGCATTTGATCTCAAAGGATTATTGATTATTTTTTTTTTTTTTTTTGACGCCCCAAACGAGAGCAAAATGTTCTTCTAGTCTTTTCTATGCGTAACCCATTATTTTCTTTATAAAAAATCCCATATATGTAGCTGTCGATGTTCCGATTAGACAATACTATTTAGCACAGGATTTATTTTTTTACAGTTATTTTCAAAAGAATTGCGAAATTGCGTCCACTCTCTGCAAACCTTTTCTACAACTGCAAAAAAGTAAAAGCGTTCCACCAACTGCAAATGTGGGTGAAGACAAAATGGCCGATAAAAGCAGAACTGAAAGGGGAAAACGAATAAGGTGGAATGGAGACAGCTGAAGAAGAGTATTGTTGAGAAAGAGAGGCATGGGAGAATTGCCGATTAGGGACCCCGCAAGTCGGCGATAAGGACCAACCTAATCTAAAAACGTTTCTAAGGTTGCGCATAGGAGAGACAGGAAATAATTGCCGCTAAATACCATATCGAATCGAAATCCGCATTAAATGCACATTTCAACTTTATAATTATCCTAAAGATACCAGCAAACACACAAAGGGCTGATTTGTATTCAAAAGGATTGATTTAATCTGATAGAAAATGTGTGGGCAGATGTATAACGATTTGTCGCCAATGCCGAAACAAAAATGTAACTATGCGATATAGTTCAAGAAACATGGGCCCATATACCAGAATAGCGATGCAACCCTATGCCGTGCCGTCGCGAGGCTGTAATTTAAAATAAGAGATTTACAAAAAAATATTAAATAAACCAAAGTTATACGTGTATCAAACTATTGATTTTTTCCAACATTTTTGTGTTATTTTCGCTATTTTTTATAAAAGAGCAAATAATATAAAGAAATACAACTTTTTATTTGCGCACTTTAATTAGAAATAATTAAGTTTTTTTACATAACAACGTTACCTAAATCCTACGAAGCGTACAAAAATATTCAACTTCCCCACTACGGCAAAATGTTTTGTACGGCCGTATTACCCAAATACGTCGAATCCATTTGGTTAGTGAACTAAACAAAATCACGAAATAAAATTAAGAAATTATTAAATGTGTTCAAATATGTCATATTCTTATTGAAAAAAATTATATTTCTTTATGTTTTGTTTCTTTTTTCAACAAAAGAAAAAAAAAACAAAACTACGTTCCGTCATAGTTGAATTTTTTCAACTTTGAAAATTCGTACGTGGACGCCATGGTATAATAATAGAAGGTAACAGCAAGTGTTGTTGTACAAAAAACGATTCAACAACCACATGGAAATTTGTTGTTGTAAGTTCTACTAGTGTCAACTCATTTGACAGAAAAATGTAAACAAACAAACAAATTATCATCAAATTATTTTTATTTTGAAAATGAAATATTTTTGAATCCTCAAAATAAAAATTGAAAAATATGAATGAAAATCTATAAAATGTATATTTCTATCGCTTCCACATATTTCCTATAATTGAGCCATTGCCATATATATGTGTAACACATATGAAAATGCTGGGAATAGCGAGTTGTTCCTTGAAGAAAGATTTGCTTCCTCAAACTTTCCCAGCAGGCAGATTGAGTAAATTGAATACGGGAGGACATTTAACAAAGAACAAATTCGAATTGAATGCGTTCCCAATTTTCCTGTTGGGTGATTTTTAAAAACATAATTTGTCAAATTCATATTGACACTAGTATTACGTTGGAATCAAATCAGCTGGGATTTGCTGTTACCTTTTATAATTGTACCATGCGTGGACGCTTGGTATAATTATTACAAGGTAGGACACAGCTACCAACCGATTTCAATTTTTTCTCAAGGTGGCTTGTTCAATCAAATCAAAATACATATTTTGTGAATGTGTGTGTAATGTTTTGAATACTATGTCAAATAAATTCAAAATAAATTTAAATATATTCAAATTTAATTGAAATGAAAATTATGTTTTTAACATGTTCGTCTGGAAGTAATTACTTTGTTATGGATGAAACAAACATTTGATGGTATTCCCTACTGGATTTTGGGAAGAAATCATAACCTTTCATTAATATTTTGCGTTTTTAGTTTTGTGTTGAAAAATGTCAAATAAACACAAACACTTGTTGCGTATACATATTTATTTTATTTTTGGCAGAAGAAGCCACTCGTACATAGTTGCTTTTTTGTTATTCACAAAAAACAAAAACAAAAAAGCAACTATGCACGTGTGGCTTCTTCTGCTTTCGTTTGTTGAATTAACGGTAGAGATAACAATATTTAAGATAGAAATTTTTATTTTTTACGTACACTGCTAGTACTCCTAGGATGTTTGGTATAGCTAATGGAATATATATCGGCCCCTTTTGTGTCATGTGTATTTTCCTAGGAGTCCCCATTCTCGGTCTCAAAAAAATTTTATTTTGTATTGAAATTTCAAGGGAAAATCTCAGCAACTCTTGAAGATATAGCCAATTTATTGTCCTAGCATCAAGTGACGGCAAGAGGGCTTCTCAAACTTTAAACGCATTTTTCTCCAAACACCGTTTTTGCAAATGGCGGGCACGATAACTCAAAAACTAATAATCCGATCGATTCCAAATTTTGGGACGTTTCTCTGTGAGTGTATAGCTATCGTATGGACTAGGTTAAATCCAATCAGTCAAGATCTTCCTTATTTTTATTTTGTGGTAAAAAATAGGCGATTTTCCAAAAATATTTTTTTCAAAGGTCCGCCATTTTGTTGATTTTTAAGGGGACCCCCCCATTTTCGGGGTCAAAAATTTTGTTGATATAATTCGAATCTACACTAATTAATGAATGTTCCTACAAAATTTCAAGTGAAAATCTCAAGAACTCTTGAAGATATAGCCGATTTATTGTGTCAGTATCAAGTGACGGCTGAAGGGCTTCTCAAACTTAAAACGCGTTTTTCACTAAACATTTTTTTGTGAATGGCGGGCACGATAACTCAAAAACTAATAACTCAATCGATTTTTACACGTTTCACTGTGAGTGTATAGCTATCGTATGAACTAGGATAAAGCCAATCGGTGAAGATCTTCCTTATTTTTTAACTTGGTTTTTGGTAAAATATCGGCGATTTTCCAAAAATATTTTTTCAAAGGTCCACCATTTTGTTAATTTTAGAGCGAAGTCTGTAATCCTAGTTCATACGAGAGCCAGACATGTACTCCTTCTAACACCGTTGGAATTTTCGGATTCCGATGCTCCAGTGAGGAGTTATCATGCCCGCCATCAAAAATAAGGACTTTCTTTAATTGCAAAAAACAACAACAAAACAATTACAAAATTTTTTTGTAAATTATTTTTCTTCTCTTTTAAATCTTCAATTATATATGTGCAAAGTTACAAACCTTAACAAGCATTGGTATTGATTTGCCAGCCCATTGAAAATCTTGAAAAATTAAAGTCGAAAATGGGGGGGGGGGGGGGGGGCGTTCCCTTAAGCGACCCTAGTTCATACGAGAGAGACATGAACCCTTTCTAACACCGTTGGAATCCCTTAAAGGTAAACGGTGGAAGATCATTTGAAGGGCGACAAAATGGAAAGAGACTAAACCCAAGGAACACAAATAAGATAGTCAAGTTTGTAGGTGTTTGTTGTTATGCTTTTAATCTAAATGTCAATTCATGTCATTTAGAAGTCTGTGTTAAATGATGTAATATGTCCATAGGAATTAAAATTATTATTCGCTTTATATAATGTATGTTTCTATCAAAGGGGTTTCAGATTTAATGTTGGTCAAATCGGTTATGGTGTTTTTACACGATATGTATTTTACATATGTGCTGTCACTTTTTTACATATGGAAATCGAACTCGTCATGTGAAACATACGGAAATTTCAATGTGTCAAAAGATATGCAATTACATATGTATTTTTTTCCGAATAGGACGCGCTCTATTTTCGTATGTGAAACATAAGGAAATCAGCTGTTTGAATGATACACATTGGTGGAAGAAAATATTTCAATTGCAAGTCATAGAAAAGGATGAGAAGGCAATAATTACAAATTATTATTTCGTTTGTAGGTGTTTAATAAAAAAATGATGTTGATTTAAGAAAAAATGAAGGTGTCTGTTTGTTTATAGGTTATGTCATATGTAAAATACATATGCCGATTTGAACACAAAAATAAATGTTTTGTGTACGCAGCTAATTTTGACACACATAAGGAATTACATATGGATGAAATAAGTGACAGCACATATGTAAAATACATATCGTGTAAAAACACCATTATCAATTTAATAAAATTTATAAGTTTATAAAATATCCTTATTGGGGGAGAACTTGTTATAGACTCTGCAAAGTTTGGTTCAAATCGGACATTCCATTCGCCTAACATTGGATTTCTGGAGGAGGTACTAGAAGATGTGGACCAATGGGTCCCACTTTCGGACTTGTTGTAGGCTTGGCAAAAGATAATGGGTTGAACAATGTTTGATTCAAATCGGAATAGGATTTTATAAAATTTATACTTCGAACAATGTTTACCACTTTTTGACTAAGTATTAAGAAGTGCAAAGATTGTATGAAATCGGTAACTCCCTTCGATAGTTATAGTACACATCAGTCGGCCAGTCAGACGGACATTTACAACTAGACTCCAAATGTTCTAAAACGAATTTGGTCCAAAGAAACATGGGGTCCAAAACCAATTCTTCGGTTAGGTAAACTTTTTGCTTTAAAGCTTCATAAAATTTAATATTTTATTTTCATACCTTTACACTGAATATACATATGATTTGGTATTTTTGAACGGTATTGTTTTTTACAGTGATTCGGTTCAAAAATTTATGTTTTTTATTCATATCTATCAGAAATGCATTTATGGTCACTAAATTCTTCCTGCGCCCTTATAATGAAAAAAATTAAAAATTTACAGTGGCACTGCGAAAACATGTTCACTCATCTACTTTTTGTCCACAAGTGAAAAGCTAGCCAAAGTT